GATTTATTTACCATGATCTGTATCAAGGATAATAAAGTTATAAAAAATCTCATTGCCTATGAATGCAGTTACTAAAATGCTTGACATGTAGTTAATCAGGACCCTTCAGCAGGTCCTGCTGCTGAATACATGTTGCTTCATTGGAACCTCCCTGCTAAAGTGCAGACATTCATTTTTACCAGTGTTTAAATTAAATGTTTGATTCTGCACCACAACAAAGTAAATTGAGGGGAACAGTGGGGATGAATGCTGTTCATATTATTTCTACATGATGCATACATCTGGGGCTTTACCAATTCAGAAAAAAACAAATTTTTGGACAGTCATTCTTTTCTTCCTCCACTTAGAGTATGTATTTATAGGCAGATTACACTTAAGCACACTACATGTGTATGTCATACATTACAGGCATGTGTGTATATAAGTTTGAGGGTAAAGTAAAACCATTAAATAAATTTTCCCTTTATTTAAACCATTTTCCCCAAATAGTGGAAAGGTGATTTAGAAATAGTGCAAAGGAAGTGGAAAGGTGATTTAAAAATGCTGCATCTCAAAACAGATTATCAGGCAGTTCCCTCATCTAAATGAATGCCTATCTTTCTGGAAAAAATAGACTGCCTTTTTAAAAGGATGAAGGTACCTTCTGCTGTGACTAACCTTATCCAACCATCTGAGAAAGGCATAGCAGGAAACAATTTACTGAGTGCAATTATTCAGTATGCAGGTAGCAGTAAATAACAAACATGAGCTTCTAAGAGTATCCAGTCAGTAGAAGGAATACCTAATTACTGAGGATTTTAGCAAGTCTCTTTTCAGACCAGAGTCAACATCCAGCTCTTAGGAACAGTGCATCAGGATGTGCTGTGGAAAGACTTTGGGCCAACAAATCAGCATCGGATACTGTTGCTGTATTTCTGTGATAGTGATATAATCATATGTGATATAGCAGAATATGGATAACTTAGCAGTCTCATTTATGAAATACAGGAACTTGCAATCAATCAAGTTGTTAATAAAATATAAAATAATCCTAATTAAATGTTTCTGCTGCTTTATCATCTTCTCTGGGTGTACAAAGTGAATATTGTTTCAATTACAGTATTTTGGAATCTACCAGTTCATCAGCATCTACATGGTTATTCTCAGAAACTACATGAGCTCGAGGTATACGACGGCTAAAAATGTTGTTCAGATGTCATAGCCCTTCCAAAAGGAAATCAAGTATTCATTACATTGATTTCTTCAGCATATAGAAAGGGAGCCTAAATGTGCCTTCCAGAAATTCAGCATATGCAACATACAGAATGCTAATACTAATATTCCTCACTTCCTACTGTTCTGTGCTCTTTTTGTCTTTTTTTTTTGGCTCCTTCAAACAGTGAGATAAGTCTTCTGGTAAGAGGTTGGTCCTTATTTCTTGGCCTTATTCTCATAAGATAAGAAGTTACTGGAAACAGTCCACAGCTGTTGTTCCCCTGAGAAAGAAACTTCCTGTTTTTTAAATTGCTTCCTTCCTGACTCTATCAATGTCCATCAATATGAAATTATCTTCCAAGGATCTAAAGACCCTTAAATTTTATAATTTCATTTTAATCCCACATACATTTTTACCTTATTTTCTTTTAAGTCCTAGGGTATGTAAATGTATTAAAATAATAATTTTCATTTTAATTAAACATTTTAAAGATTTTTAATTTCTTAGTGCTAAACTGCTATTCTAAGCAACTTTACTGTAAACGTTAATGAAGTTTAAAGCAAAGACAGCGCTGGTAGCATCACCTCTGCATTGTATCTCCTCTTTCAGAGCCTTGAAAGATTTGCAGATACATCACATGGACAGTTTATTTTATACTGTCTTTTAGATTCTTTGGTGGATATGTGGAGAATTTATATGTCTAATAATGATGTAGACAATGCCACATTGCCTCGTATTCTCAAAGCTTGACCAAAAAAAAAAATACATTAAATGTGTTAATGGGCTAATGAACAGTCACAATGGGGGTCTGCATATTTTCTTTCTTGTGTGCTGGTATTTTTAATAGTCACAACAACTGTTCAGATAGCAATTTTATATTTAAAATCAAATTTAATCACCTTTACTTAAATGCAGACTCCATTTTGTCATTCTTCTTTATTGGTGGTACCACATCAAGAAATATGGAATAATTCCCCAGTAATAGCATTTTATTCAAGACCGTGCAGTGGGTTTTTAGGTGACCCATATGCATTATTGCATATTCCATCTCATTAATTCTCTCTCTTTTGCTCAACATATATATTATTTAAACTGTAGGTTAGTGTTTTCCTTAGTGTCGTCCCATATCTTTTGCAGTTTTCTGTCTTTCCACCTACACATATTCTTTGCTCTACCACTTTATGGCTCTTCATTGTCATGGTATGAGGTGAGTCCCATTGCTTCTCTCAGTTTTGTCATTCTCATATTTACAGTATCGGTGTTATTAGATGTGGAATCTTCTCTGACGCTAGCATATACAATCTAGTGCTACTTTTTTATGTTTGGTGGGGCGGGGGGGAGGTAATGAGTTATAGCTTTCACTATCTATCTATCTATATATATATATAATAAGAGTTATAGCTTTCACTAGTATTAGACTTTGCTCTGACAACTTAGGATACCTTGCAGGATAAGTTTGGATACCTATCAGGTATCCAAACTCTTGAACTCAGTAATATATGAGCATATCTGATTTTCCACAACATATTACTCTTAACGTGGTCACAAGTTTACAAGTCTCACTGCATTGCATTGACATTTATGCAGTTTTAGTTTAGAAGTTCAACCTTGCTCCTGAAACACAATTATTTTTTTTTCTTCATCATTTTGTAGGTATTCCTGGTGGTTGTTTTTTGTTTGTTTTGTTGTTGTTGTTGTTCTTGTTGTTTATTTCTGTTCAGGATCCTTGATATTTAGTGTCTACTCTTCTTCAGCTTCCATTCCAGCCTTCTTAACTTCCCATTTCATTTCTCCACATTACTTCCCCAACTTTTCATCAGCTTTCCTCAAAGCTGTAAGTATAAAGGGGTTTGGAAGGCTGCTGTATTTTCTTTTAATTTCTCTGTACTCTCTTTCTGAAGAAAAAACACATAGTTCAAGAAAAGGCAGAGTTCCCAGCCTCCTAAGTATGAAAGGTCAGCCTGATCCATCAGCTTTCAGAAAACCTTATTAAACTCCTGCTACACATTACATTACACTGTCTTTTAAATTCCCAAATGCAAATATAACAGCCTCCAAAAGCAAGACCCAATGCATATGGCTTACTAATACAAGAAATAAGCCAACAGAGTGGAAGTCAGTGTAATCATTTTAAAGTGCTTTGAGATAGAAAGGCTGCTAAATATTTGACAGAAATTGTTGTCTCCAATTTGCATGGCTATTTCTAATTTTCAGAGCAGACCTTTGTGTCCTCCTCCCATTGGGAAATACTATGCCACATAATTCATTAATTTTAATTAAGAAAACAATTTGGAAAAAAAACCAAAACCAGCACATTTTGGTACTACGTTTTGAAGTTCACATTCTTCTTTCTTGAAGTGGGAAGAAGAGACAAATTCAGTATGGCAAATTTGAATTTGTATAGTTTTAAAGCCAGAGACATGGAGTCACTCCAAGCGAATATGGAGATCCTAGTTTATTATGCCCATGGGTACTTGTTCATACACAGCACCATCTTATGCTTATGTGCTGAAGAGAAATACTGGTGTTAAGCTAAAGTTGTCACACAATTCAGCAAGGTTTGAAAATAATTGTGGCACAGACAGTTTGGATCTTATCCCAACCCTCAAAGATGTCACACAATTTCCATAAAGCTGAAACTTAAAAGAAAAAAAAAACCCACACCAAACTCCAAAAGAAACACCCCACACCCAGAAACCCCAAAACCCCATAAATTTAAAACTTTGGTTGGTTGTAGACAACAAAATTGAGCAATTCGCTTAAAATAGCAGAGTGGAGAATTCTGGGTAAATACTTTGAAAATAATTTCTATTTTTATTGGTAATAGTCAGGCCAAATTCTGCAGTGTTTCAAAGTTCCAGCTCTCTGCTAACTTTCTTCTGGCAGCCTGTGAGGCTGTTTCCAGCCCTGTTCTCTGCCAGATGGAGTGCAAAGAGGGAAACAGCTGCCTCTGTCTGCCAGGGCACTAGAGACATGTCTAGCCTAAAGTCTGTGAATACTCCTTCCAGAGTAGGAATTGGTGCTATAAAGCACAAAAGAGGCTAGATTTTGTTTCCTTTTGCATCAGGATATCTTTATGTCATTGCACTTCGCCGAAGCAATATAAAGTGAATTGCTATAGATGAGAGTGGCTGACCCAGCACTGCTGTAAAATCATTGGCATTCACATGGAGAACTACCCTGTCAGGCACACTATTTCAAAGGGGGAGGCAGAGTTGGGGGATAAGAGTTGATGTAGGCTAAAAGGAAAAACAAACATTTCCAACCAACTCCTGTCTCACATCCTTCTTTCACACTTCTGAGAATTATTTTGGTTTCTGTATAGTGTCACTATTTCCAGATCCCAAATGCTATTTTTATAGAGCCAGGCATAAGATGCAGTACAGCTAGGGAATATGTTCTTCTCAGACCCCAGACCTATACTCCCAACCTGCAGTTCCCTCCATGCAAAGGCAATTACCCAGCACATGGTTGCCCTGGTTCCTAATACTACTTGTACATTCAGGCTGCATCCATTTGTGAATTGGTTCCTTCATCCTTTCCACTAATGGGGCTCTTTAAAAGCTGAATCCTACTCAAAAAAGAAAGGCAATTTCTAACCCACATTTTGGAGATGGAGGGATGCATAGGTCTGTAAGGGTTCATCTCAAAATGAGCAGCATACCACAGACATCTGTTCTTAGTGTGCCTCTGCTTACAGCCAAGACTCCAGCAGCAGGACAAAACCAGCAGCACTGGTGCCAGCAGTTGGCTGTCAGCCCACTGTCGTCCCAGATGAATATAAGGTTGTGGGGATTATATAATGTTTCTGCAAGTGGTAAAAGAAATGAGAAAACCTCAGCACACCCCTGAACTCCTGAAATTGAAAAGCATCTTGATTTTTTTTTTAGTTATTGATTTTTAAAAAGCGATGACAAAACCCAAATGTTTGATGGGGCTGTGAAGGGAAGAAAGAGGAATGAAATAATACTGCAAAAAGGTATGGGATATTTATTACCACTGCTTGTTCTGCACCTAGTCTGCATTCCTAATGTATTCATCTACTCAAACCAGTAAGAGTTTGGGGTATGCAAGGAATCTTGGTCTGGGTTTAAATTTCATGCTAGTCAAAGTGATTTTTCTTCAATCTATTGTATACTGTATTTGACATATGCCTTTTCTCTCATGAGTGCTTCGTGCTCCAGTAAAGGTAGATTTAATACACTGGACATTGGTGTGAGCTATTTTTGTCTTTTGAATTATAAATCAATTTTTATAAGTCATATTGTACTACTGTTTCTACTAATTTCAGTTTCTTCACAAGCTCTTTGGTCCCACGTTTCATAACTAATGTTTTACTCCAAATGAACAAGGATCTTGAAGACATCGAAAGTGCCTTGACATCGCTCAATAGACCATGACAGCCTCCTTCATTCTTCATATTTCTTGAAGCAGAGACATCCAGTGAAGGAAAAAACACAGAACTGTAGTAAACAGACATCAGAAAAGTGACTCACTGTGTTTTCAGTGATGTGACTGGTGGATTTTCATTGCAGAATTAAGCAGACTAGGGGACTGAGCAATTTACCTAATCAGCCAGTGGAGAGAAGCCCACATTAAAAGAAAATGTTTAGGAAGAGGGAACAGAATTGCCTTTGGGGGACATCTTGTGCCTGATATTTGTGGTGCCAAATGGACCACAGGAAGGTAAAAGCCTGAAAGAGCAAAGACCTGGGATCTGTCTCACACCTGGAATAGAAGCAAAACTTCCAGCCTTGGCTGTCATTCCCACTAGCAGTGGAGCCAGATCCATAGTATGGATGCTGGGTATGAATGGCTTTCTAGGTGACCTCCATGTTGACCAAAGTAATCAAGGTGCATAGATATAGTGCAAACAATGATTCTTTGCTGTGTTTTGTAAATTCCTGTATAACCCTTTTTTCAAATGCTGATTTTTGCCATTAATTTTTATGAGATTAGTTTTAACATTGCAGTTACAGGTATTCTCTTAATATGGCAGAATAAAGCCTGCTCTCTAAATACTTTGCCATTTTAAGTGAAGTGTCAGGACTAAAAACAAAACAAACAAAAACCAGAAAACAGAAAACAAAACAAAAAGGAATGTCACATTACAAATATAATGAAAAAAACAGCAACATCAATCCAGCCAATGAAAAATGTGTTTCTGTTGATGCTCAAGGGCATATGAGAAGTGTTACAATATATTACTGAGGAAATGCACTCAGTCAGACGTACAAATGATAACAATTTGGGGAAAGATTCAAAACATTGTGAAAGAAAGTCCAACAGGCATCAACAAGCAGAACAAATACACTTTCTCAGATACGATGTCTGGGAGGTTTTGCAGTAGCTCATTTTACCATAGGAGGTGATGATATATCAGGAGATAACAATTTTACAATCCCACCCTCTGCAAAAGAAAAGGATATTAAAATTTGCAGTAATGTTGCTCATCTTCCTAGTTTTGGGTACATCAGTCACATTGAATTTTCTGTGTGTCACTGGCTTAATCATACATTTTCACTTGCTACATCTACCACCTGTTGCAAAGAGTAGTTTCCACTTATCTTTTTTGTTTTCTTTTAATAAGTCACATTCAGCTTCATCACAGTCTTTAAATGAAATGATATTTTGTTGTCTTGCATGGTAATAACACTATTTTCTATTCCTACTAAGATTAACTTTTCCCATGCTTTTTTTTCAGTACCTGCTTCATTGTTTTTCTAAGTTACTGAGCATTTTGTGGCACAGCCAGTACTGAACCACTACTGAGAAACTAAATGTTTTCTTCTGCTGCATAGTGACAGGCTCACTGTGGTTAAGGAAAATGCAGTAGCTTTTAGGTGGTGGTGATGTACTTCCCAGTTTGGGTGCTACTTGGCTTTAGAATCTAATTTAAAACCAAGCATGCTAGCAGCAGTGACCTCAGCCCATGCATAATTCAGACCCTATCCTACTTCAGGGAAAGATAAGTGAACTGCTGCCTCAGTACTACTGCTATTATCTCAGGGTCTGATCCAAAGATACTATGCACAATGGAAGAAGTCCTCCAGAAATCAGCATCTTGCTTGCATGGATACTTGTCTAAAGGTTGCAGGGCTGGAACCTCCTCTAGGACCTCTGCCATACAGTTCTTTCTACTGACTCTGCAAAGAACTGACAACAGAGAAAGCAGCCCACTGGGTACATTTGGGTTTTGACTGCTTGTTACTGCTCTCCTGTAAGCATCCTGTTTGAGACTGACGGGGAAAAAGGCTTGTCTCCCTCGATTGCCCTTATGCAGTGTCTATCATTTGGGTCAATCTCTTCAGCCTAGAAGGATCCTTGACTAGGTATACAGTTGTTGGAGCTGTGACTTATTAAAGCATCAGGAGTACTCTGCAAATCTTCAGAAAATGATGAGCTGGAGGGGGGACTGGTCAATGCAGTAGAGGGCAGGACTGTGCTTCTGAATTACCTGGTCAGGCTGAAATAATGGTCTGGCAGGAAACTCACAGAGTTCAAGAATGCACCTCGGGGTGGGATTATCCCATGTACCAGTACAGGCTGGGGTATGACCTGCTAGGAAGCAGCTCTGCATGAAACAACCTGGTGGTCAAGGCGGGCTGCAAGCTGAACAAGAGTCAGCAGTGTTCCCCTCAGCAAAGCAGGCCAACAGCATCCTGGGTTACCTGAGCAAAATTTGGAGCAGCAGGTCTGAGAGGGCAGTCCACTACCGCTATTTAGCACTTGGGAGACCCTTTCTGAAGTGCTCTGTCCAGAATTTTGCTTCTCCAGTGCAGGAAATATGTGGGTCCTGCACACGGCAATGAGGATGGCCAACAGCACTTGATGTGTGGGAAGAAGCTGAAAAGAGATGGGTTAAATTGAGCTCAGAGAGGTAAAGTCTCAAGGAAATCTTACTGTTTCCTTACCAAAGACACAAAAATGGTGGTGCCAGACTCTTCACAGAGGTGCATGGTGATGGGAATGCAGCAATAGGGAAAAGTTGGAACACCCAAAGAGACAGTGGGATTTCCACCCCCGGAAATGTTCAAACCGCAAGTGGACACAACCCTGAGCAGGCTGATGCAATGAGACCTGGTTCTGAGCAGCAGGCTGGGCTAGATGACCATTGAAGGTCACCTTCCAGACTAAATTCCTCTTTCAGCCCATGGGCATAGTGATAGAATGGACAAGAGAGAGAGTGCCAAAGGAAAAACAGAGAAGTCAGAAAGAAAGTGGGGAGAGGGGGAAGTTATAATATTCAAAGCATAAACTGAAGGAAAAAAACCCATCACAACAAAGGGCAAACACTGATGCTGTAATAATGTCCTAAGAAAAAATACCTCTGTCACATTTCTGTTGAGAAATCAGGTGTCATTTTAGAAAGGTACTATTACAATTGTAGCTTTTATAACATCCTTAAGTATCTCAGAAATAAACTACTCATTGGTTGTTTATTTTTTTAATTTTGAATTGTTCTATTTTAAGCTATGAGGAGAATAATGTATTTTAAAAGATACTGTTCAAGTGTAGCACTTAGAAGTTTGCAAATGACAAGATTTAGAGTGATTTAATTCAGCTGTTTCTGCATATGTACTGAATAATGTTGACATACTAATTTAATACATGAGCATGACCTTTGTTTCCAGAGGATTCCTGCCTCTCCAAGGAAATGAAGCAGGCACTCAGTAGTTCTTAGAAGCTTTACAATTTACTTATTCCATTTTACCTCCATACTGACTTTTTATTGAATACAACAATATTAATTCTCTTGGAATACTTCTGTGGTCTTTGTAACTTTAGCATATGGATTCTGATGAACATTGATTAGTATCTCTGTCAGATTTGGATGGTTTTGGGGTTTTGTGCTGGTTTGTTTTTTTTAACCTGTTTCCTAAGAGGGATTTCATGGATCTGATCAAGGTTCATCGAAACTGCCCACTGATGGTAAGAGAAATCTGGGTGCTTTGACCTGATATTTGGGAATATTTAAGAAGCTTGTAATATCTTACATGTCAAAACATCTTTGTGACTCATTTCCTTTGTCAACATGAGCTCCAAACCTGAATTCAAGCAAGTCATTCAGACGTTTCAAAAATGAGTGCTTCGTACATTGGAAATGCACATTGTGTGAAATTACACTGACCCGCAATTTATGTCATCAGCAAAGGTTAGGTCTTCATAGTGACACAGAGGAGATCCTTATCACTTGAACTAATAGCTTCAGTATCTGTTCCTTCCACAGACTGACCCCCCCAGAGAGGAAGGGCAGAGACTTTTCCAGTTGATTTCATATCCATTTGCTATTGAAAAAAAGATGGTCACAGTACTCCTTAAGTCAAATTCCCGAGGCAATGGTGCTTGTTACTTTGTTATGAACTCTGCTATTTCAGTTTTTCCTTGCTGTCTTTTCTCGTTTTGCTTCTGTTTACTTAATCTTTGTTTGTACATTTATGCTGTCTCTGCCTCCTTCTTTCCAGCCCTCCTCGTCCTCCATGAAGCAATCCAGGCTGCTTTCCTAACCCCTGAAACCCATGATGTCTGATGGTGCTTTAGGACCAAGTGGACCTGCCAATATGGGCTGTTTCTCTTGTGCTCCTTGAGCAGAACATCTTTGAGGTGGGTGGACATCTCGTGTTCCTTTTCAGGCCCAGAGTGGGCTCTCCAAGGTCCTTCAGGAACAGTGGGTGGCTGGAAGATGGAGACTGGGGCATGTCCAAGCATCCATTTGCCAATGCACTGTTCATTCAGATGCAGGAGCTGTAAATGGATGTAGCATGCTCACTACAGATGAAATCTTCAGAGAATTTGAGATGCAAACACACCTCTCCCAAGCATAGAAACTGTAGTAGGGTATGTAGGGTGGCTGGGTTTGAGTTTTGAGGAGGGCTGTACACTGCATATCAAATTTGTGCTTCCCACTGAGAGCCCTGAAGTGTGTGGTTTTTGTAGACAGTGAAAATACTCATTTTTCAGACTCAATATGAGTGAACTTTAGCTGGAACTTAAAAAAAATAAATCAAAAATCAACCTGAGGCAGGTATCTTGCAGTGGCAACTCCAGCCCAAACAGCAAAGGTTTAATAAAGCAAAAACAAATTGAGTTTTGTACAGAAAGTGCTGGCAACATTAACTGTAGGCACCAGTGCTATTTCTATATATAATATCCCAAGTTTTCATGTATAATAGTAAAATGTTGACATTTTCTCATTTTTACAAAGTACTAGAACAGAACCATGATTCTGCATTTCAAACAGTTTTGAGATAGTGTGCTTAGCATGACACATATATGCTCTTTATCAATTTTAAAATCCTTTCTCATTTGTTTTAATTGTATTTACTATGTTCTTTCAATAACTAACATTTTACAATTGAGGGGCAATAAAAACATGACTCAAACAAACAAGGTAGCTAGCATATTAATGTCTGGTACATACTTACTGAAGTAATACCAGACATTAAAAAAAAGGTAAAATGAAACCCCACAAAACCCCAAACCCAAACATCTAATTCTAGAAGTAACAGCTCAGAGAAATGCATTTCTTATTTGGGATTAATGATAGACCAGTGTTGGGTGATTCACCTGTGGCTAAGAGCCCTCAGAAATGCATCTGGCTTCTGCTAGCATCACTGTATATGCACTCTGATACACTTACTATGGTACCAGGGTACTGAGCTGTGGTTGTGTTTTTAACACAGGAAACGCCTAAATACTTAAGAAAATGAGAAATTTTTGCAATAAATCTAAGTGTTCTCATAATAGCACTGGGAAAACAGGGGTAGACCTCACACACTAAATCCTATGAAGAGCTGTAAGAGCAAAGCTGTTTCTGCTTCGAGGAGCTTTCAGTGTATGTAGTATTCTTTTTTTCCGTTTCAGACGTAAAGGACTATGAGCAGAGTGAAAAGCAACTTAGAACAAAGTTGTGTAAATTTAGAATTTAATCCTGTGCCTTTTGCAATTAATGAGAACACTCCTACAGTAAGATGATGATCTTAGAAAGAAAGCTGACTCTTTGGGGAAGGGAAGGATGGAGAAACTAAGTAATATTAGTAGCAATAGAATAATTAGCACTTCTGGAAGGGATTATTTTTTTTTTTCTGTTTCCTCCCTAAATTATGGGTTTCCCAGCTTGATTTTTCTCATCCCATATTTTTCTCTCAAATGAAAGAAGCATTCGCTTTAAAATCTGTGGGCTGAATCTTCCTCTTCCTTTTTAAAAAGCCTTAATGGACATTATACTCTACCTTTGTGTTTGTGTTTCTATCTTATGAAGACCTACTTTAAAACAGCAAATCATACTACTACCCGTGTTTAATGACTAACCAAAACGTTTACCCTTGACATTCTCAGCACCATAATGCCAGTTAAGCAAAACAAACAGAAATTAAATGAAACTCAGGCAAAGTAGTTATTATTTTGGGATCTTTATTTCGGGATCAGAGCAGAAGCGCCACTGACAGGAGAAGGAAGCGGGAACTGCAAGCCTGTCCAGCGCACCAACAGTGAAACGGTGAATTATTTATTAAACCTCCCAGTAACAACTTGTGATTTAAAGGTCACTTCAGAAAAGGCATCAAGGTCAGGCACCGCTAATCCTGCATCCGAGGCGGCCTTCCGTTTCTATCGGTTTCTCTTTTCTCCCAGTAACGCCGCGTTACGACGGCAGCGGGTGGGAACCGGATTGTTCGGCCTCCGCTGCCCTCCCCGGTACGGCACGGCCCTGCGGGACACCCTCCGCTTCCACTCGTGACGCCCGGCCACCCGCGCGATCCCAGATCCACCGGGAAGACCGGGGTGCCCCGATCCCCACGGTGCGACCGGGGACTGCCGCTCGGGGGCGGCGGGGCGGGGCAGCAAGTTCCCCAAACTTTGCCCCTGCGGAGCGGACGCGGACTCCCTCCCAACACCGCTTCTATCCCCTACTCCGCTCCCGAACCCCGCTCCTCGACCCCGCTCCCGACCCCCGCGGCCGGCGCGGCACCTCCCACCCTTTCCCGGCGGAGCTCGGGCCGGGCCCCGCCACCGTCACCGCCCGATAGGGGCGGGCACGGGGAGGAGCGCGTCGGGCCGGGCCGGGCTGGACCGGGCGGCGCCAGAGGGGCTAGGGGGAGCTCTGCACCTGATACACCGAGGAGGCAGCGCGGCGAAGGAGGGAGGGAGGGAACGACGCTACCCGCTGCCTGCGAAAGCTTGTGCTCGCCGTTAGTCAGCGCTGGTTTCGCTGCTCTTCTCTCCTCCCGCCCCTTCGGCGCGGAGCTGGGCTTTCGCTCCTGTTTCCCTCGGGGCTGCCGGCAGCGCGTCCTCTTTCTCCTCCTCCTCCGTCTTCCCTACGGGCCCTATGGCTTCGTCCGGCAGCGGCATGGAGGAGGTGCGCGTCTCGGTGCTGACCCCGCTGAAGCTCGTTGGGCTAGTGTGCATCTTCCTGGCGCTGTGCCTGGACCTGGGAGCCGTGCTGAGCCCCGCCTGGGTGACGGCGGATCACCAATACTACCTGTCCCTCTGGGAGTCCTGCCGCAAGCCCGGCAACTTGGACAGCTGGCTCTGCGAGTCGACGCTGCACAGCGGTGAGATACGGCTGCCCCGGCTCTGCCCCGGCATCCCCGAGCTCCACTCCCCTCCGGCGGCATCACGACCGCGCATCCCATCTCCTGCCCCGTCCCTGCGTCCGCCCTTTCTTTCTCTACCTCCGTCTCCTCCTGGTCTACACCCCGAGCACTGAGGCCGATACCCCACCCCCCCATCCCCCTCCGTGCCCGGCGGCCCCTCCAGCATACCCCGAGCCATGTCCTTCACCCTTGTGCCCTCCGGGATTGGGTCCCAGCCCCTTAACGGGGCCAGCCTGGTCGCTCCCTTACACCCTCCACTGGACCAGAGCAGTGCCCGGAGCCCTACTCCTCCAGACTTCCCGCCTCGTCCGCTGCCGCCCCTGCTCCCCGCCCTGCTCCCTGCGCTGGCAGACGCCGGGGAAGGTCCCTGGCACCTTTGTCCTCCCGACCTCTGCAGCCTTCTCCATCCCGACCTGCTTCGTCCATTCCGATCTTACTCCCGGTCCCGGTGCTTCCCCCCCTCCCCGCTTCGGGCTGCGCGGCCCCTATTCCACACCTCCCTGCACGCAGGTTGGGGCGCGGGCGGTGGCAGTCCTTGTGAACGGCGGGAGCGGGGGAACCGGGGCTCCGTCCTCGGCTCGTCCCTCCGCCCGCGGGATGGCCAGGGTGCAGGGGAGGCGTGAGGCTGGATGCTGTAACCTGCAAGGGTGGCTGGTGCCGCGTCTGCCCTTTGACCGTTTCCAGGAAAGAACTCGAGTTTGCGCTAGTTACGATTGTCTTTCCGTGTTGTAGTTGTACCCATACAGTGAGAAGCTGTATGAGAAGGGAACTCAAGTATTTTATAATTCCCGATACCCCGAAATCACTAATCTTAGAAAGTTGGGGCTTCCTAAGGCAAACCCGATTGTTATTTTGTCCAGAGCGAGCACGCCTGGAGTCTGGCTCCCTACATCCCCCTGGGTGGTGCTTGTGTGTATGACTTTTCTAGCAGGTACTGATCTTTCCCTCGCCTTTCATACTCCTTTGCCTGTTTGGCGCACTACCCGTTTTGATTTCGTATTGCTCATTTGTTCTTAAGCTTTCTAGGTTTTTGGTCATCGATTATTCTGTCCTTTTTTTTTTTTTTTCCTTTTTAAATGTCATTTCACTGTTGCTCGGCGTACTTAAAAAACGGGTTGTGAATGATATAAACAAGCTGCCTGTTGAATATTTTTCAGTAAATTGTTTTGTAGTGCCATGATTGGTTTGGTTTACATGGGTTGTTTTATTTACTTTATGCCCGATAGTAACTTTACAGTCCCAATAGAAACAAAGGCAAATGAAGCCAGCCTCTTCCTCTCCACCCCCTTCCCCTTTTCATCCCCATCCGTGTCCTCCCTAAACGCACACTCGCGTTGCTAACTCATCCATTTGGATCACTGTGCTCTCCGGTGGGTACATCATACAGGGACAAGATGTTGGGGGGGGGGGCAAGAAAACTGTGTATTCTAGATGGTTTCCTTTTTCCTCGCTTCTCTGAAATCTTTGTGTAGGTTCTGGGAAATAACTGATCTCTGCTTGAGTAGGAATTGCACAGGTTCCTTTGCTGCTGTGCTCTTTTTTTTTTTTTTTTTTTTTTGCTCCTGTCGTTGTGTGGAGTAATGTTTGAGGGTTTGAATTTGTTTGGGTTTTTGTTCCAAATCACATAATACCAAAAGAAATTGTAAAGAAATGTCATTTTCAATCAGTTACCAGGGTATCTACACAAACTTCAGAGAGCTTTCTTTTCCTTCCCCAGTATAAATGGAAATTTATGTAGGAATGTCAGCTTCTACGTCTCCTTAGCAACGTAAATCCTTTGTCCCTTCTCCGTGTCTCCTGAAATAGTATCCCCTTGATTGCAGAAAGACTTTTCAGATGGCTTGAATGAGAACCTGCTTCAAATCCTGCCCCCCTTCCCAGTTTTGCACACACTTTATTGGGTTCCCCCATCAATCCATCTGCCTGCCACACATGCATATACACACACACACACACATACACAAGTAGGACATTAAGACAGTGGTACAGTTTATGCAACAGCATAAAAGGACACTAACCTCTTTTGTTGCTTTATTGGTCACCTGGCTTTTATGGGAAGGTGGAAGATGAATGGGTGAGGATGGATAGGAATGAAATGTAGTTTTGTTACATGTCATGCGTTGAAAATGTGTTCTGTCCTGGTGCTTCTTCTGTCCTGTGCAAAAATTCCTGCCTGTCCAGTTTTATTCAAGTTCCTTGTATGAGCTTTACTCATTTTCCTCAGATACTTTCCAGTCTGATCAGGCCAGGTTTCACAAGCTACTGGGGAAGAAGCGAATCATTGTTTTATTTGAGGTGACTGGAATAAACCTTTCACTATCCTTATGTTTGGCACACAGTGCTGCACTCTGAAGAGACCTGGAATATGAGAAACTGTACTGTTCTCGCTTTGCCTTCTGCTAGTGTGTTAAAATTTCCATTAAAGTCAGTAGGAGGGCTCCCAGTAAATTCACCAAGTTGGACTGTGCTCATCTTTTGATTAAGGTGCTTGCCTTAATATTTTAAGTGCACTTTCCTCCTACATTGAGAATCTAGCAAGCAGTATATTTTGGAGGTAGTGGAGAGCTCCCACAGGGAAAGCTCTTTAGCTTGATACTGGTGCAAAGAGCTTTGTAGCTAGATAGCTGTGAAAAGCAATAGTACACAGAAAAAAGGCATCTTCACCCTTGGTTTTAAAGAGATTTACTTCATCATCCCTTGAAGGAGAGCACCTCAAGTGGCACCATCAAGGGCAAGCTCACACTAGAAGCTGTTTAAAGCATGTTCAAGGTTTAATTAAAAACTTTTATTGTAATTAGATTTAGGACCCCTGACTGCTATCTAAAGGGCAATGTTGTGATGAAGAGAAGGAGCTGTACAGACCATGATTACATTGGCTGCTATAGCAGGAAATAATACCTTGTTTTTCCTTGAGTGTTGCTAGAGCTTGGAGTATGTGTGTGTGCATTCATTCATTCATTCATTCGTACACTGTTTTGAGAGCCTTTTCTATAGCTTGCAATCAAACCCACTACTGGTAAAGTTGTGCAAGTGCTTCATAGTAGTGATGGTTCAAGTCCGTAAAATAGTCATTTTTTTAGAAATCTGGATATTATAAAATATTTCATCTTAATTTGCTTTTGTTATTTTTGAGTCTTTAGGGTGTAGGTAAGTCATCTGTTCAATTCTTTCCTGTAATTTCAGAAAGGTATTCTTGCATATCCCTTGTCTCTCTTCCCTTGATGAAATTAAAAAATTCTCACTAATAGCAACATAAGAAGGAGCTGAAAAAACTGAAACTTACAGGGTTTGGAGTGTTCCTTTGGTGCCTTTGAAGAAAATTTTTTTTTTTTTTACCTTATTTGAAGTGGAGTATGTCTAATTTGTGATGGTTCACTTACAGATTTATTAAGAGTTAAGAATTACATATGAATATTTATTTCTATCACAACATCTGCCTAAAATTAAGTGCATCTTATGTACAACTGTCTGGTGCATCTGTACCTGTGCACACAGTTGTCATCTTCCTGCAGAATTAATTACAGTAAATTTGAATTTGTGCAATAGACTGCAGCCATTATAGTTCACATAATGTTATAGCCACATAATCAAAGATACACAAATATGATGTGAAAGACATAAATTATTCCATAGAAATTGATTTATAGGCAAATATTGTGTATTTTGTCTTCAGTACACATATTCGCTGTTCATAGAAAATAATGGCTCCTTTGCAGCATTTCAGTTTATTGTGAAAATAACTTACATAAGTTTGAATAGTTTTCTTTCCAATTAGCTGTATTCGTTCTGCTGGATGGGGATATGTGACTTTGCTACTTACAACCTGTATATCTGTTTATGGAACATTCAGGGTTTTTTTTAAGATTATTATACTCTCTAAGAACTGTCCATCAATGTTTGAAAAACAAAACATTCTTAAGGAAATACATGCAGCAGGGTGTCTGGACATGTTTAAACCTTAGTGGTGAGCAAACCACTGAGCTGAACTTAAAACATAGTGCAGTAGAACAACTTGTGTCTGGTTTTACATGTATAATTGTGTTAGAATTTGTTCTTAAAAAAAAAAAAAGGGGGCATCAGAGGCTGTTCATTCAGTAGTACTCGAAGGGGTTTACCTTAATTATACATTAGATGCAGATATGTGAATTGACATGGCTCAGTAGTCTTGGATGGGTGTCTGCTTGTTTTGAATTTAGGTTGTTCCAAGGGGAAATTGCTAGCTCAGAAGCAGCTTCCTCATTAGAAAATCTGGACCATTGCTCAGCGTTGATGTTGACACATATTTGTAAAAAGCTCAGCAAGCCTGATAGTTCGCTATAAAATAAGAACGTAATTTTACTAAGTCTGAAGAAAGTAGTTCATGCAATGTAAGGAGAAATTAATAAAACATTCCTTCTGGTTTTGAAAGCTGTAGTCTGTCATTTTGCATATTACTCTCTTTAGTAATCATCCCCAATGCTTCATCTGAAGGTGGATGTAAAATCACAAGCCATATGACTTCAAACTCGGTATCTAAGACCCTTAGCATGCCGATCTAACTTTGAAGTTGAGTGTGACTTGGAGACTGGCCTGGCTTTTCGTGGGGAACTGGACTAGAATGACCTCTGGAGGTTCTTCCCAACCTAAATTACTTTGTGATTCTGTGATGACTGATACTCTGTTTATGCCCAATGTCTACCTGATTCCTTCAGTGTGTTCAGAATGCCTTGAATTTGTTGACTACCCCTCACAGTAGCCCTAGATAGAATGTGTTTAGATGTGCTCCCTCTTTTACAAATGGAGCAGTTATTTTAGCCTCAGACTTCCCAAGCGCTGTGGAAGCTGCGGATCTGAAAGTCCTGTTTAGTAGTCTGGACTTTGCAGTGTGATGGAGGCTACCATTTCATCCACTGTTCTCCAATTAGCTAAGAGACATGGTTACAGCACATTTGAGTGTAATACATGAAGTTTGTATGTGT